TATATATGTATATCTATATATGCATATACATACACACATATTTTAGATGGGTATATATATATATACTCTCTCCCCATATATATATATATATATATATAATTTATTATTTATTTATTTATTTTGACAGGGTCTTGCCCTATCACCCAGGCTGGAGTGCAGTGGTGCAATCTTGGCTCACTGCAACCTCTGCCTCCTGGGTTCAAGCAATTCTCCTGCCTCAGCATCCTGAGTAGTTGGGATTACAGGCATACACCACCATGCTGGGCTAATTTTTATATTTTTAGGAGAGATGGGGTTTCACTATTTTGGTCAGGCTGGTCTCGAATTCCTGACCTCAGGTGATTCACCCGCCTTGGCCTCCCGAAGTGTTGAGATTACAGGCATGAGCCACTGCGCGAAGTGTTGAGATTACAGGCATGAGCCACTGCGCCCGGCACTTTTATATATTTAACTGCAAGTTTATGTAAAAAATAATAACTGTTTAGCAAGCAGTTCATTAATTTCCTGAAAATTTTAACTGGATTCTCATGAGCCAGTGTGTATATCACTGGCTAAACTTTGCATGTATATCACTGGCTAAACTTTGCATGTCTTTTGCAATTTCGGCCACAGTGAACTGAGTCAATTTCTCACAGTAATAGAACAGGAAATGAAGGGTATATATGTCTGCAATTTATTTGACAAAAAAACAGAAAACCAGAACAAATACCAAGCTGTGAATTATTTCCCATATGCCTATCTAAATGTATCCTTAACAGCATAAAATTCAGTCCTTTTGAATGGAAGGCATTGTGAACTTCATCTTTTTTTTTTCTCTAAACATTAGCCTGAGTGAATACTGTACTTGCATATCTCATTTAATCACTCAACAATGAACAATGCTAAGTACTATTTTTCTCCCCATTTTAGACACAAGTTTAGGGAAGGTAAGTGACTCAAAGTCACACAGCTAGCCAGTGAGACAGCCAGGATTTGAACCATAGCTGCCTGGACCTCAGTGGTCATCTGATCACACCTTTACACATCTACAAGAGCACATGACATAGTTAATAAATATTTGTTGAATCATTGTGCTATTTGTCTATTCATTCGTCTATTGCTTCTATTTTCCAAACTTTAAAATAATTGCAGAACACTTGTTGAAGGAATTCTTACATGGAACACCAACATAGAACATAGATAAAAGTAGATCTGCTCTGCTGAGCATTAGTGAGGGATGTGAAGCCCCCTGCCTACCTATCTGTAACATAAGATGTATTAATATTCATGAAAAAAGCCGGGCACAGTGGCTCACGCCTGTAATCCCAGCACATTTGGAGGCCAAGGTGGGTGTGAAGGATTGTGTTAAAGAACTTCTCTTCCCGGGTCTGGTAGGGGAGGGGCTTCAAATGCAGGAATTTCTTGGCTCCCAGGCTCCCCGCTTGAGGTGGCTGGGGCTCTTTGAGCACCTCCTTCACGCTTACATCCAGAGACCAGAGGGGTTTCAAATGCAGGAATTTCTCAGCTCCCCACCTCATGCAGCTGGGGCTCTTTGAGTATCTCCTCCACGTGGGCCAGGTAAAATTCTTTGATCTTCTTGAGTGTAGGAAAGCCAGGTGGGGTTCTTTTGTCCCCAAATCTCGTGGAAAACTCTGGGAGGAGGGGGCTCTGTAGCTCAGGGTTGTAGAACAAGTAGCCAATCTGGTATCAGAGTTAAAAAGTTTGAAAGAACTCCTCATTGGCCGACAACATGAATGGGGAGGGAAAAACTCAAGGGTTAAAACTTCAGCTGCTCCTACCTGAACTGATTTCCCGCTCTGGGTTTCCCTCCCGCCCACAACAGCGTGGGAGCTGTCTTCTCTCTCTCTGTTTAATAAATCACCCTTCCGCAAAACTCTTTGGGTCCGCGATTTGGATGGTAAACTCACCGCGCCTATGGGGTCCCTTTCCCCATTTTTCCGGGTTAGAGAGGCCAAGAACCTACGAGCTGGGTACCCCCCAACCACCGTAACAAGTGGATCGCCTGAGGTCAGGAGTTCAAGATTAGCCTAGTTAACATGGTGAAATCTCGTCTCTGCTAAAAATACAAAAAGTAGCCGGGCATGGTGGCATGTGCCTGTAATCCTAACTACTGAGGACGCTGAGGGAGGAGAATCGCTTGAACCCGGGAGGTGGAGGTTGCAGTGAGCTGAGATTGCACCACCGCACTCTAGCCTGGGTGACAGAGCCAGACTCCATTTCAAATAAGAAAACAATTTCATGGGAAAAACCCTAAACTTGGAGTTTAGAAAGAAAGTTTTACGTTGTTCTTTTGAAAAAATAAAATTTATATCTAGGGTAAAAAGGCACACAGTTTGGGAGGTTTTATGGGCTTCTCATGAAATCAACAAAGGTATAACAACGCCAGGAGTAACAGAATTAACAGGGCCAATTTCTTTAGGAACACAGTAGGAATGCTGGCTGTGTTCAAACCTGTTTCCAGCCTTCCCCACATAGGAGTAGCGGGCTAACAGCACCTTTGGTGTCTGGCGGATATGTGTTTAAATCCTAGACTGCCAATCATTATATGACCTTAGCTGAATCCCACCTACAGTTATGGTGATAATTCTAGAATCTATTTACAAGGGTTCTTGTGAGGATTAAAGGGGATAATGACTAGGAATAGGGTCTGTTAATTACTCCATAAGTGATAGTTATTAATTAGACTAGATGTCAAGGTTTCCTAATGACTTATTTCTCATTTTCTCTGAGGCTTTAGTGTTTAAATTGCTTTTTTGATTACGTCCTTTACTTTGGGCTATTACAACACTGGTAGGGAAGTATATGGAAAAATGGCAAGAAATTTTAGAGGCCAAAAACTCCAGTTTTAACTAACTGCCCTTATGTTAAAATGCACATAAAACTAATTTCTATTTTTTTCTGCATCTCAGAGTTAGTCCAGTCAAATTAGAGGATAAATGCTACATTTGTGCTTGTCACTTAAGAACCCCAGTGCAAGACTCATTTAATTGTTCCCTAAGCCATTTATAAATGTGCCTGTGGACAGCAGGTATACTAAGCAGATTCTGGGGGCCCAGGCCTTGTTCTGTTGATTTCAGAACTTTTAATCCTAATTATTCTTGAGTACATTTAAGCCAGTAGATTAACGTTTAAATTTTTAGTCGCTCTGATCAGTCACTAGAAAAAGGCAGCTTTTTGTATTTTCCCCTTAAAGAATATAGAACAAAATAAACAAAAAATTATGCAAATTGGAAGTCTACCCTTTAGAGACAAGGAATTCTCTTAAAGGTACGTGGAACACCCCATCATTGG